AAACCACATAAGTCAATTAACCGGGAACTCCAAAACAAAAATTGTAATTGAGATTGAAATCCATTTTCGGAAGAAAAAAAAAAAAAAAAAGAGATGAAGAATAACCGAGATTACGGATAACCTCGATCATGACCGGATATGAGAAGAAACGAAGAAATTATCCAAGGAAAAGCATGCGAGTTAAGCCAATCAATGAATGTGAAATTAAATGACGAACACATTCATTTTTACTGATTCAAATGAAATTAAAAGAAATCGAAATATCATCGCATATTTATCGCATCAAAACAGAATATATGAAATCATACGAGGGGAAAAAAAAAAAAAGTCAAAGCCTGTTATGGCATAAAAAATATTCTGTAATTGGAATTTGAATGATTAAAAATGAAGAGAACTGATTATAAATGTTGGGAGAGGGAGAGAGAAGTAGAAAATTACGGAGGAGAAGGAAAAAGAACCTGCATATTCCACCTCCACGAGAAGAGACGCCATTGCCAATTAACTCGAGTGCGCTTCGTTGGAGTTTACCAAAACGACACCTTGGAATTAACTGTTAAAGTATATATACACAAAGTACCAATAATTATTTACTATTAAATTGGTTTTTAAGATTAATTTTTTTTATTTACAAATCATATTCACAATATCTTGTAATTTAATGATTTTTTTAAATAAATAAATTAGGATTTAATTTAAGAGTCAAAACTGAAAAGTGGGGATCGAATCTGAAATGTCCATTCAAAACACTTTAGTAGTACGTGCCTCCAAGTGGTCGTGGTTGGCTGGGGTTTGTTTTGGATGTATAAAAAAAAAAAAATTGTTGATTAATTAATTATTAATTGGTTTGAATTGGAAGGACCCACGTGTGGTTTGCTGACCAAATCATTTGAACGGTTTCCCAGGGGGACCGGCTATAAACAATTTTCTTTAATAGTAAAAATATGTGTGTACAAATTTTGCGTCAAATGTTGAAATTTTATCAAAGTAAATTGCGATGATTCACGATAATTAAGTCAAATTAACGAACGAGGAATTTGTAAGGGAAAAGAAAGATGTGCGGTCGGTCAAATTCAGGGCTTAAGACAAAAACCCTATTAAGCGGGAAAGCATATATATACATGAGAGAATTAATCCAAGTTATAAGTGATTTTTCCCATTTGTTGTAGAAAGCAGCCGATTCATTTTCATTCCGGTCCCCAACCATTATATTATGTATTTATTTTTAAAAAATAAAAATAAAAATACTATATTATATTTTAATCCATTTCTAACTATTTAAACTTGTATTATTTATTATTTATTAATATGGAAACAAGTATTCTTGTCTTTTGATGTATACGCGCACACATATACATACAATGCCATTTGTCGGAACCTGCCTTTCTTGAACTATAAAGAATCCCCAAAATAGAGGAAGACTGGATGCTTTCACCAGACACCACTTTTGGGAACTGGGAGTTTCTAATTTCTATTATTTATTTATTTATGAAAGGAGAGTTTCTAATTTCTGTTACTGGTTTTAGAACCTTCAGATATATGAACACACTGAGAGTAATTTATGAACACACTATCTTATATATATATTCTATATTTTAATACCCCCTTAAAGTGGTATTCTATGTATGAACCGTCGCTATATTTACTTACTGAAGATATTTATTTTCTAGTTTAATTAATTTATTTAGTTATTGAGAGTTTATTTATTTTCTGTCCAGTTTATTCTCAAAACTTTTTGGCGCTTCTTTTTTTTTTTATGATTTCATTGATTTTTCTAACTCCGTTTGTATCTTATCTATGTCGAATTTATCAGTCAAGTAAAAATATATTAAACCAACATATTATTTTACTCATTTTTAAAGATTTTATTGTCTCAATGAATGTAAAAGTCTTTCTTAAAACTTATGAATATGAATACCATAAATAAATCTCTAATACCCACATACGTGTTTCATTCTTCTTAGCCCTACTTTTCCAAACATATACTTACAAAGTTGTCTTGCTGTGTATACCAGCATAAATGAAATTTTATGTAGAATAATCTACATAGACCTCATTTGCAAAATAACATTCTAAACATAATTTATAAATAAATTCCCCAACTCAATTAGAATTCATTAGTTCCAACCATGAGGCCATTCCAATAAAAAGGTGAGCCTATGACCTCCAAGACTTTTAGTGATTCCTGCTCAATCCTCTCACTGTCAATTAGACAAGGAGAACCTTCCTCAAACAACAACATACATGCACATCCGATTTCGTAATATAGTAACATGAGCTAATAAAAATCTAAATCAGAAGTCAGTATCTACATAATCCCAAACTAGGACCTAAACACAGAATACAAGAGTCACACAACAAAATTACAAGGGGGAGAGCCTCCATCAGGATTGCTTTGCCACCACTGAGACAGAATCAGGTTCGCGACCATGAACTCGCAACCGGTAAATACAAGTGTGGGATGGGCTTCCATGGTTGGATGTAAAATCTAGCCACACATTATCAATGATGCCGGTTCCTAATGAGTCTAGCACATTGAACGTCTGAGCATTGCTCTTCTCCAAGTCATAAGTAAACTCTGCCAAAAGAAACATCTTCTCTGCATCAATCGGTGAGTCACTATCCTGACCTTGCAGCCAACCAGACACACGGCAATTCTTCGGAGCACTTGATCTGTCGTAAGCTACTCTCTGCTCATTGTACAATACAAGAACTTTTAGTACATTGTTTTCCAAGAAAAAGCAGCACATCTTATAACAAGTTATTTGAAAAATGACTATAGATCAATGACTGCAGTTTCTAGGACATTCATTCAACAACTTGATTTATATACAATACAAACCCCTCCAATGATTAATAAATTATGAAGTCACACATCATTTAATTTAATCACGTAAACATGAAAGTCACACATCTAGAGCATAACAAATATAACAGTGACAGCATGCTTTTGATTCAGAACCACAACGAGGTACTCATCTTGGGCACTTGTTATGTAAACCAGTTTTCGATTGCACCAAATCTTCTAAGTTGAGCATAAACTTCCTGAAATATTTTGGCAGTCTCAAGAAAAAGCATTAGAATGCTCATCAAGGATTTAGAGATTGACATGGAGGATCATGACCTGCAGACTTGGTGGGGGAAGCCTAGGATATTGACCTGGTTGAAAACAATTTCTAAGTCTCCTTTGAGTTCACTTTCTATTGCATTGCTAGTTCGTTCTAGTCTTAATTTTCAAGCTATTCAACATGAAACTTTATATTTGAACTTTCGAATCAGGCCACTCATTTGAAATCTACAATTTTTCATTGATCTTGTCTTGTTTGAATCAAGATGATGAATCAAGAAAAATTCAAATTCATCACCCCTAGCCAACTGGTACTTCTTATAAAAACAAAGCTTCAACTGCTGAAAAAGGCAAGTGGATTTTTGTCCAAATGCCCAAATCTAATGGGTGCGCAAGCTCAGTCCACACTGACAAGACCTTCATTACAAGTTCTTTTAAAAGGAAAAAAAATTAAATATACTAAAGTGCATAAGGGGGTGCCACCCTAGTACAAAAGAAAGAGAGTTCACAAGTTAATAAAACGTTCATAGTCCCCTCGATCTGCATCAGAAGTGAGAGGGCTACCTTAGAGAAACATATATGGTCTGGAACCATAAGTATCTCATTCTATCAAATGAAGAAGATACATCTTTGAAAGCCCTTTTCTCCCTTTCTTTTCAAACAATCTATAGGTAACATGTCTCTTTTTTCTACCATAGAGGGGCAATCTCCTTCAAGGAACCAAGCAATATTGTCCAATAAACAGGGTTATCTAGATCCAACCAAGGCTTTTCAATGCTAGATGAAAAGAGTCACATTATCCCTTCAGGATATTCACCAAGGGCAGCCCTAGTCTTAGTGACCAATTAATCCACCTTAGTGAATAAGATTATGATAACCTTGAAAGTAATACCAGTAAAACTATAATCCTGATTCTTCGCACATTAACAATGAATTAGGATTACAACTTATTCAATAATCATAACTACAAAGTAATTCTGATTTAACTAATTAAAGAGTGTAATGAATCTACTACACCTAATAGATACTACATTTTTGGCATTCATGTCTACAAAGTAATAGATACACATTAACAATGAATTAGGATTACAACTTATTCAATAATCATAACTGCAAAGTAATTCTGATTTAACTAATTAAAGAGTGTAATGAATCTACTACACCTAATACATACTATATTTTTGGCATTCATGTCTTATACAGTGAACCAAATGTATGTAAGTGCTTGAGGTGGAGACTCTCACCAATGATTGGGGCTTCTTATGTTATGTAATGAGCACTACTAAGCTTGTTAACAGGCAAGAGGTGATTGTTGATTTATTCATTCTGAAAATTAAAACTTCATGTTAGTGCTAGATGTTCTCTAGGGTTTATGGTGGAGAGGAGCGTCTGTTTTTCAATGTCCTAGATTCTAATAGATGGTAGTATTTCTTTGAGGGGCTAGAGTGATTTAACCAGTATTTTTAGACATGAGAGATTGATGGATGGCTTTCCACACATTTGTTTGAAGGAGTTCAAGGACTCATTAAAGGTCCAAGTTGCTTAGAGTCAACTATTAAGGATGGGAAATAAACCCACGATTTAATAAATTCAAACCATTATGCCCCATTCCCCTTTTTTTGACAAAATTATCAGTTCCAATTCTGGTTGGATAAGGTAAGACACATAAACAATGTTGGGTTTGGATTTGGAAGCTCAAAACCCGCCCGACCTGACCCGCCTTTATTATTATATATTTGTTTATTAGAAAATATAAATTTAAGTTTGCATCAAAGAGGATGAAAATTGTTGTAGTCGATGGTTATAAAATGAAAAAAAGAAAAAGAGAGACCGATGTGGTGATAAATGAGAATAAAATGAAATGAGAGACGTTGAGCAAGCCAAATTGGGTTTTTTAAAGAACCCCAGAAGTCCAAAAAAATTTGATAATTTGTAATCACCCCGGATATGGGATGGAATCAAGTTTTAATATTCAAATTGCAGGCCATTTTCGGGTTTATTGAAAACACATAATTAGGTAGCCTATTTCAAGAGAGGAGATTAGCTGATGGAGAAAAGGCTTTCTTATTTGCAAGAGAGGGAGCATCATGCACAAAAAGAGTATTTTGTCTAATCTATAATTACTATCTAACCTTGTTTTTCGTCCCCCAATAAAGCTAAGAAATTTGAATCTCTCCAACACCAACCTATATGAGGAGATTCAAATGGCCAAAGAAGATATAATAATTTGGTGCTTAGGACTCATTAACAACCATTTAGTTAGGAGCCCTTGGTCTAAGATCACTTGTCTTTTCAACATAATGCTTTTTTCGTAAAAGGCTTCAGAGATCTATATCATATCAAGGCCATATTTGGTGAAGGATAAGCACTAAGTTTGGAGTTTCTGAGAAGAGATAAACGGCCAAGCAGGATCCTTACATGACTGGATTATGGAAGGAGTATCAAGTGGATGATGAGTTCACCCATTTAGGATAAGTCGATTGCCTAGTATTATGCTGACAGCCACAAGTAAGAACAAGCTCATTGATCTAACCATTTTCTGGTCTACCTAGAGAGAGAGCAATAGGATGAGTCTTTGAGGGAGTCGTTTCTACTTTTGCTAGTCTTAGAGACCAATGTTTCCAAACCTGACGTAGATTGTTTAGAGGGCATCCTCTTCTCTCTTTTATAGAGATGGTAACCCCTTTGATATCCCTCTAGACAATATACCTCGTTCTCTCTAAAAATGTACAAGGCAGTCAAGAGATTTGATGCAGGTTTTGAAGTTCTCTTGGTGCATTCAGATTAAGTTGCTTTTAGGCAGAAGATAAGCTTCTAGAAAGCTTAGTAATGTGGCCAAGGCCTTTTGAGTCATATGGGTCTCAAAAGAAGGAGTCTAAGGCAGGGAGTACCTTTCTGTTAGTCCCAAACAAGTGGGATATGGGTCTTAAATGAAATCTGAACAACTGGGAGGAAGATGAATATGTTAGCCTCTTACAACACATCGCTTTTCCACTATGAAACTATTGGATGAGGATTAACCATTCTGGAAGTCGTGTGCCAATGAAACCTTTACTGTTAAATCCTTCTACTTTCTGCTTGCACAAACAATGATGTTTTCCTTCAGAAGCAAATGTATTATCTAGAAGAAGACCTTCTTAGCTTTCTTCAATAAATACAATTTGGAGAGAAAATTCTAGAGAGAGAG